CACGGCTTAGCGTGGCAATCGTTAGTTGTGCAATCGCAACGGGAAGTGAGCGTGCCTACAGGTCCAGTATATATAGATGGAAAATAGGGAGGGTAATGTACGTGCACGCGGGACGGCTTACCCGAGACACTAGCCTCTTGAGAATCGAACGAAGTCAGTGACAACGGTCTGTAACAACCCTTTACACTGGCTAATCTGGGGTCAGAACCTGAAATTAGAAGGTTTCTCGTATACCCTAAGGGTCGATAGGGAGGGTCACTATAATTAAAACTTATGTGTAAAGGAAGGGGATACTACCTTTGAAAGTAAAGATAATTATGAAAAATTTTCCATTATTGTAAAGTGCTTAATGTATATTATAAAATAAAAATAGCAATTCTTAAAAAATTATAAATTTTTTTGGTTATTGCATACTCAGCCTTGACATTTGGATTTTGAAATTTCTTATCATAAGTTGCATAGATTGTTTAATAAACACAAACGAATATTCCTTTGATCCGATTTTACTTTTTTGTTTGTTCGATATATTTGTATCAATAATAATGACAAACTGTTGCAGTATTTTCACAAAACATGGATGAATATCATGGTAATAAGACATCATGATATTCAATAAAAAGAAATATTATAAATAGCATAGAGTTGCATGTGAAAAATGTGTGTCTGGATCGTAGTTAGTGGAAGGCTATGGCGTGTCACTATTGTAACGTCCTATAGTGTCGTTATATGGACAAAATAATAATACTCTAGACGTCAGTATTAGCCAACGAATATCATTATCATTACATGTTTCTTACCACGGTATGATTTCTTCTTGTTTTTCCCATATTTTGGTACGGTTGAGTCGACTATTCTCAAATATATATATTTTTTATGATACCAAGTGACAGGAGGAACAAGTCGTGCACCTGGTGGTAAGCGGCACGCCTGTCCATAACAGTTGTAGTGCCATTCAGAGCTTTAAATCGCAAAGAACTGAGGGGCACTTCCACTGCGCTCGTCACCCTGAGACATAAGTCAACAAGTCCCATGTGCCTGTAATTTCACCAGCACTCTTACCTCTGGCAAAACTTCCCTGGACGAACTCTTTCACTAGGAACTCTAGATACTGCTACTAAAATATTGGGATAAGAAAAAAAAGCATACCGTAGTAAGAAACCTATAATTAATAATAATAATGAATTTGGTGAATAACCACTATGTCATAAAAAAGCGGTTAATCCATAAAATATCAACTGGTTTTATAAGTGTTAACAACGTTTAAAATATAAAACAAAAAGTATTAACAAGTAATGCGTTTAGCTTTTAAATTACACCATTCAAATCAATGAACTAGGTGCCTCCATGTGCTAATACAATTCCTAATTCATTTCAAATTCAATGCGAATGCTACAGGAACAATATTTGCTTCTATTTCCAACAATGGCATTTGAAATTAAATTACTAAGTGATTTTCGTTAAAGAAAAACAACTTATATGAGTATTCTTTTCGGGAATAACATTATACTTAACCCATTTTCCGTAAGTTAAATAACCACAATGTTCGTAATAATCAGCATTTGTCTCTTATTAAAACAACTAGGTCAAGTTCCAAGCAGGTTATACCCGCCAATCGTGCAAATCCTGAAGCTCTAGAAATCATTTTTTAGATATTGCGCCGTCTGGTAGCGGCGATGCGGTCTCAGTTTTGTTTTCGGAACATAATATTTTGTGATGAATTGCCGGAAAGTATAATTAGTTTGTTATTTGATGGTTTCTCGGATTATAAATCTTGTGAAACAAGATTTCAGTATCTATATTCAAAGAAACTACTTTGACTTTCCATAATTAAATAATAGATAGATAAACACTCTATTCACTAATGACAATGATATAAATACAGATCAAACAAAAAATTAAAAACGTAACATTAACGAGTTAAAGGGCGCTTACTGACTTAGGGCTGATTTTGAATCATTGCAAGAACCAGTGAGAAAGACTATTATTTGTAACCAATATTATATAATGATTAAAAGCAAAGTTATGCATTGAAATAATATACGTAATAAAGTGATGTAAGTGCTTGTGCGAGTGTGAATATAAGTTCAGCAGTAGGACTGGATAGTGATTAAGAACATATACATATAATAACAATAACGCACATCCTCAAGGCCCCGACAAGGGAAACTCTGTATCACGGGTGCCATGGACACACACACACACACACACACACACACACACACACACACACACACA